TAGAAAAAAAGTTTTTGTTTCTAACCACCTCAAGATTACCCATCCTGGATTTATTTATCAACGGGTCATGCAGGTTAATACAGATAGTTAGAATAATATAAGGCGTAAAGCTTAATTTATTCATTTTGATCGTTTATTTTTTTCTTTAACAATCAAGTACAGATGGTATCATTATGTTTATTCCATTAATATTTAACTTATGGATGTAGGCATGTAGCTACATCACAATATTATGTAGTGAAATGTTTGGTTAAAAATTCTAATTTTGGGATCATAAATTATTAATTGGTACCTATATGGTTTGACCATAAGCCCCCCAAAATTCAAGAAGCTATTAGACAACCGTAGTTAATAAACTATCTAACCAAAATTAATAAATTAAGTACAGACATTTTCAAAAAAGAGGATTAATAAAGCAGCTGTCACCAATTTACCATATTAAAAAGTTGATTTTACTGTTAGTACAACTGCGTACTCAAATAAATTATGAAATTTTGTAGATAAAAAATAAAAATAATAAACAAGTTTATTTTTTATTATCGATCCATAGGTTTTTAGTTTCAGGGGATATACGGCCCGGATAAATAATTTCCGGGAGTATACGTGAATACAAATTCCGGAAATCAACGTTTCGGAAAAATACGGTTTTAGTTTTTTGCAATCCGGGCGTATACGTCCCGGATAAAATATTTTCCGGAATAATAGGGTCCAGATGAATACGTTTCGGAATTAAAATATTCTGGAAATATACGTTCCGGACAAATACGGTTTTAGGTTTTTACATTCCGGACGTATACGTTCCGTACAAAAACGTCCCGAATTTTACTTTCCACCTATACATTTTCCGGAGTATTATGACCACGATTAAAGATAGTATGGTTGCGTGACGACGTATGATAATGTATAGGCTGAAGCGGCCACGATAGTGCTTACAGTTAATCTGACTGCTTGGTGGCGCTGTCTACTGATCAATAAATTCACAAGAATTAATATATGTGGTTTTGACTGCAATCATAGATAGCATGGCGGTAGACCACAGTGTAATTGTGTGTAAATATATTATTATATTTATTAATTTAGGTATCGTACGATCGGGATTCAGGAATTTGTTTTTTATCGTCTGTGATTTACTACAGTATTTTACACACTGACATAACATCTCGTTCTAATATACTATATAAAAAATTGTGAATTATTCTTTTAATTAAAAGTTACAACTAGCCCAAAAATGTCTTGTTGCATTCGCTCACCACATTCTGTTGCAAACACCACTTTTGAAGTACCGAAGAATGAGTTGGAAAAATATAAATGGGAGGAGGCTTTAGGCATGAAATTAAAAAAAAGCCATCGCGTATGTGCTTCTCATTTTAATGAATGCGACATAATAAGCTGTTGGAATTCTGGTTTGAATCATTATTCGGTATGTAGGTACCTACTTAAAAAGATACAGAGAACATTAAAAACAATGTAAAGCAAATCTGCAAAATTAATATACCTATTTATACCTGAAAACATAGGCGTGCGCACAGGGTATGCAGGGTATGCCGCTGCATAGTCTGCGGCTTTATGTGAGGGGCCCATATATAATATAGGTACCAAAGCATTTTTGATATCTTCTATATTATAAAAAAAAATAATAAAAATTTAGGTTTCACTTTTCTCGAGACCCGCAAGATAATCTAAACTATTAATATACTAAAGCGTAACACGTAGATATAGTTATCTATGTTGCAAGAATAGAATAGGTACCTAATTATTATTGTTTTTATAGTTTGTAATCAAAGACAATATTATTATTATAACTGAGTCCGGTACTATGTCACAAGAACGTCTTGATTCACTGATGTTAATTTTTATCAAGAAAAAAATGGCATCAGAAATCAATATTGAAGAAGTAATAGATGAATTCAAAACATGTGTGCCGATAAAAAGAAGACTTGAACTTTAGAGTTTAGATTTTAAGTAGGTACCTTCCATGAAATAACAACATTATTAATGTGTTAAAGTTATTCAAAAACATTCATACTAGTATATACTTGATCAAATTTTCTTTAAATAAATATAATTCAAATTTCAAACTACTTATTTCTACAGCGCGTTGTTTAATATTCTACTGTAAAACTATGTGTGATTTCAGATTCCGAGGGAAGCAAAAAAGCTAAGTAGTATATTATTTGCAAAAACTTAGATTGTAAATTGAATCCTATACGTGTTAAAAAAATGTTTAACGGCTTAGAATTGTTTTTTAGAATAAATAAAAGGAAAGATTAGAATTTGTGAGGGGGCCCTATTTTCCTTATTGCATAACCTGCGAATAAAGTCTGCGCACGCCTATACGGCTATGCCTGAAAAAACAATGAATGTTTGTCAAAATAAAATGTTTACAGGTATGTTATCAAAGGAAGCGGTTAAAGAAAGGTGCGATATGTAACTGTAAAATGTGTTGACTTTTTAATTTATTTTTTCCAATGTAAATATCAAAAAAATTAAAAAAGCTAATATCGACGTATGACAGTATGAGACAATGAATTAGTAATTACATATCTAGTGGTTATAAACTTATATGTAAAAACTCGTCTTTTCTACATTTAACTACTAGATAGCAGCACTAGGCAGTCAGTTTAGACTTAAGCACTTCTATCGCTGCATTTTTGGTCGTCGTCACGCAACCATACTATCTTTAATCGTGATTATGACCTTCCCTTATTTTTTATACCATGGTAGAGAAGATAATATCTTCTCTACATCGTGGTGTGAATACTCGTCGCACATTTATCCTAATAACTGCATTCTCCCTGAGAATTTATGAGTGATAACTAGTGAAACATGTTTTAATGATTGATAAAATATATGTAACGAGTACCTATACTCGAGTATATTTCGTCAGACTCGTCGGCCGTCACTAATGTGTGAATCCATAGTATATGATCTAACTCTAAGCACGTCCCCTCTTGTTAATTATCTAATAACTATATTTAATTTATGTTTTATATTTATATTATATTTACATCTAACGAGAAGGCCACGACCGGCGACCTCGGATTGCATAATATTATTAGGTAGGTAGTAGGTACCTAAACATTGCCCCTTAGTAGATAGGCACGAGAATGATCTTGGTATAATCTCAAATCTCAAATCTCAATAGTCAATAATAATCATTATTATTATTTATCCGTCTTGAACTTGAATCTTGAATAATAGTAACAATTAATTCTTATTATGTTATTTAATTTTTAAATTTTTATGTAACTAATTTTATTCGCTCGCTCATATCATAATGTACAATACGATAATAATAATTATAACAATACACGTGGGTATTATGAAAAATGAATTATACGTAACCCCCTTTGAGATACGTATAGGCAATTGAATATGCAGTATTGCGATTGTCGCCTTATCAGAAGTGATAAGTGGCAAACGTACGGAGTTCTCTTCACGGACGTCATACCTATCCACGTATTTCACGCCAGTGGTAATAAATAATATTAATAATTGTACCGACTGCTGGAAGAGTTCCTTATCATTATTCGTCGAAGGTCGAACAACTATCTATATTGTGACAGATCCACAAAAAACCGGGCCCATTGCTCGTAAGTTGCCGAGATTTATTCTATTTCTATGATATTATTATTATTATGTATTAACTCACTGAGGCTGGGAATGCTGGGTCTCTTTGGATGTCCAGTCCGAAGTCACTCGCATTAACCTATTTAACCATTTGGCCGTATTCGGCCGTGGCGTGACCGACGTTTGTTCATCGATCGATGTTGTTGATGATCGTCGTCGTCGCCGAGTGCCTACCACCGCTTGTGATGTCTTGAAGACGATCGTCGATTAAAAATTACTTTGCTTCCAAACATAATATTGCCGTTTGATAGTATGTTTTACCGAATAACAGTCGATTACACGCCATGTGCGTTCCAGAGTTCTGAGCACAAAAGTGTAGGCCAACTCGATTCGTATTTTGAGACGGGTACCTAGTTGCATCCCAGATTCAAATGTTACAAGTGATCCATAAAAAGCCGGGCCCATTGCTCGTAAGTTGCTGAGATTTATTCTATTTCTATGTACCTACTACCTACTTAATATGTTACTCTAGCTGTGACTTGTTTCATCTCTGGATGATCTGGGTCCATCGTCTTCAGCCATAGTTTGACAGACGTTTATTCACCAACCAATATTATTGTTGTTTGATATCAGTGGCGCAGCCAGGAATTTTGTATGGGGGAGGGGGGCCAAGTATACAAATACAATAAGTCTTTTATTTACACTTTTTATTTTTTTTATTAATCTTGACAAAATTCTAAGGTCATCACGGTCAATGAAGGGGGGCCTATAGCCCCCTTAGCTACCCCCTACTGTTTGATATGGTTTTCCAAATAATTGTCGATTACGCTCTATGCTTGTTTCATAATATAAATAATCCATGAACTTTTGCAATTGTTTGACATCTGGATGAATACCTACTTACAAAATTGTTTGTGAAAGATTTTTCAACTTCACTTGGGTGTGAAAATGTAAGAATGAAAGTCCAAAAAATATTTTAGGTAATCACCTAACTGATTTTTTTCTATAATCACCATTTAATCCTTTATAAGATTAAATAATTTTATATGGATCAAATTAGAACACATAACTTTATATGTCTAAGACCCAATTAAGACAAAATATTTTTTTAGATGTTGCTAATACTCAAACCTATTAAAATACTAATTATGATTTAATTTATATTCCCATTAGGCGCACAAATGTAATACCCTCACCAATTCTCATGGAGTGTTGACCTCCACCACCGTGTGACCACTATTGTTTTTATTACCTATGTAACTTGATGACTGTTTGGGTAGACTATTTGAATATTAAAAAAAAAATTAATAAATGTCATTATAATTTATGTATTCATACTTGATTAATTATTTTTCTCGTTATTTTTGAAAAGTACCTTCATGTTTTAAAAAATTATTACTTTTAGTTGTTTGTACTGAAGGACCTCATTGATGACGTTGGATATTAGCAATGTCGAAAAAAAAACAACATGGTTACTACATAGCACCGCTGGCGCGTGTAGTGGAGCTTTTACACGCTTGGTCTGTCAACCATTTGATGTACTCAAAATACGATTTCAGGTAAATTTAAGTTGTTTCCCTGGATCCTGGGAGTATTTATATTTATTTAATATATTTTATGATATATATATTATTTTATTATATTGACTAGTGAGTCTTATACAAAATAAATAGTTAACTATTTACCTATTACTATTTTTAGCTAAGAGTGCCTAGTAAATATACGAGTAAATTATAATTCATAGTTATAGTTTGACTATAATTTTGGCTTGTGAGAATGTTTTGTTTTGATATATTTTAGTTTCATAATGCGTACATTTTGTTTTTAGTTGCAAGTTGAGCCATTATCAAGAAATTCAAATAACTCCAAGTACAAATCTATTTACCAATCAATTAATCTTATATACAAAGAAGAAGGTTTTAAGGCATTATGGAAAGGTCTTTTACCGGGACAGTTCTTATCAACTACCTACGGATTAACACAAGTAATTAGTTCCTTTCCATTTAAAGTTCAATTTTTTATACACTTATTTTTTTTGTATAAAGTATGTTCTTTTGTTACACTGTTTTTATTTGCTATAAACATCTATGCATTAAGTAATACTAGAACTAGGTAGGTTACATTTTACTAAATATAATATTTAGTAGTTTAGTTCTTCTTATTTACCAAATAATTTAAGTATTGGGTTACTACTACCTATTTTATATATGTGCATAAGCTATTTAATTTTATATTTAAGTACTTAACAAGACTAATATCATTCCACAATCAAGTTTTGTATAAGTGCTTGGTTGTTATTCTGTAAATGAGTAGGTTAAATATAGTCACAATGAATGAATATTTAACTTATTAAAAAACAAAATTACTATACCATAATTAATATCAAATCAATAAAAAAAAGTATTTTTTTACTTTTTTATTTCTATAATATTTTTAACAAAAGAAGTTCCACTTTAAATATTCAATAGTGTAATAATATGCAAACTTATAAAACACCAACAATTCATTTCATTTTCATTTATTTTTGTTAATAGGTTAAAATATCTCCTAAGAATCTTGCTACTATAATAATAACAGATTAGAATTCATAGTAAAAGTATTTTTTTTTAAATGGTTAACTTTGATACATACTTGTTACATTTAGTCTCATTTAGTGTTGATGTAAAACAAGATTGCACAAATCTGAATTTAAACTTGTAGCATTGATAATTAGGTAATATACTTATTAATAGTTATAGGAAGTCTATGCAAAGCTAGATAAATATATTTTAATTTATCTCTTTTTTATAAAATATATGAAGATAACATTTGTTTAATAATACATTTATAATCTTTAGACTATACTATTTACAAATTGTAAAATTTGTCTTATAAATATAATTATACAAAATAATATATTATAATATTATGTAATATACCTAATGCAATAATGCATAATATATTTGTTATTTTTATGAGACTCCCACTTAATAATAATCAACTAATATGATGTTTTATACTTTTATATCATTGATTATTAGATGACAGTTTTTATTACCCCCTAGTATTAGGTACCTGCATAGTGTAAAGTTGTGGATGTAACGTTAAACAGTATTTGTATTATTATTTTTAATCTTATAGTAATAATAAATATTTTTAATGTACTCAAAATATTATTTGCAAATGTTTAAAGTGCTTTACAAGCAATTATTTATTATGTAAACTAACACTAAATAAAACACTTAAAGTCTAATGAGTTTGTAGTCTCTATTATGAAGAAATTGTCAGCACAATATATTTTCTCTGTCAGATTCATAAATCGCATTCACCCTAAATCAGGTTTTATGATTTTTGAGTAATCTTAGAGTAAAATCATCTTCACAACAATTATAGAGTATTATATTTTTGAGTTAATTATTTTTTATAATTTTTTTTAATGTATAATTACTCTTAGATTACATAAAAAGATAAAAAAAAAGAAGATTTTGTGTGAATACATTTTGATGGTGCGCACTGCTCATAAACAAATAGTGCGCTGATACATACTCTTAAGTCAGGAATTCATAATTTGTTACATAATATATTATAGTAGAACCACAATAACTCAAATTTCCCTTATCGATTTGAGAAATCAAAGTTGGGAAATTAGGTATTTATGAATACTTAGTAGTATATTATAATATCACCTACTATCTATAATCCTAAGTTATATTGTGTAAAGTAATTAATGGTTTTAGTTTTTAGTCTTTCAAAAAACTCTGGCATTACTATCAATAACTGAGAAAGAATTAAATCAGACCTCAAGTGTTCATTTTCTATGTGGTGTTTCGTCTGCAACTGCTGCTACTTTGGTATCATATCCATTCGATGTTGTACGCACTCGACTAGTAGCTCAAAAATCCAATCAAGTAAAGTAAATATATGACTAATTTAATTTATAAGATTTTTAACACAAATTCAAATAAAATACAATTTAAAATTTAAAATATTAAAAAAAAAAAAAAAAATCAAATTATTAAAATTAAACAAATTGCTTATTTAGGTACCTTAACATGTAATAATTTATATTTGGCCAAGTTTTGATTTAACCACGAAGGAACCAAATAGAGTGTTTACCATATTATGCATATGGACTGTACACATTTATTAATCAAATAATAACATGTATTTTAAAGAAGGAAAAATGTCCCAAAACAAATTTTGTATTTATGTTGTAGATTTATGCAAATATGAGAAGTGTGGCCATATCCATGTATAAGACAGAAGGTGTATCTGCATACTACAGAGGATTTTTTCCTACCATACTGCAAAATGCTTTGCAAGGTGGTTTCTTGTTCATGTTTTATAACACATTTTCAAAGTTTTCCTCCACGAATACTAGTACTAATACGAGTATGTGATCTGATCAATGCTAATAATGTTAGATAAAAAAAATGTATGCATTTAACTTTTTATTTTTCTTATAGCCATTCATGACAATCACATGAACAGTGTTAAACAATTCAGCTCTGGATTCATGGCGGGGGTAGCAGCAAAAACAATTGTGTACCCACTAGATGTAGCAAAAAAACGGATACAATTACAAGATTTTATTCACTCTAGGGATGGTTTTGGCAAGGTAAACTAGTCGTGTTTTATTATTTTATTTTTTATTTCTGTATTTAAATGTGGTGATTTCACACTCTGTTATACCTTTTACTAATATCTAACAAAATGTTTCTACCAACTGAAAATTTGCATTTTGATTAAAACTCATTTAATTTAATGTCAATTTTTTTTTTTAGAAATTTATGTGCAATGGATTATTGGACTGTATCTATGTTACACTTCGAGAAGAATCTATTACTGGTCTATTTAAAGGACTGTCTCCATCATTGATTAAAGCTGGGTTCACGACTGCATTACATCTAACCCTTTACGAACAAACCTTAAAGTTACTTCAACCTTTAGTCAACAATTATTAGTAGTAATTGCTATAAACCAATTTGATTACCATTTTTTTTAGAAATGTAGTTCGGAAATAAATTACCAAATAATGTACAATTTTTTTTAACGTTTATTTTTCTGGTTTTTAAATACAATTGCCAATTAAAGACCCATATAATTACATAATGTATAGTATTTATAATTGTAATTTGGCGGCGTCCCTAGACATCCGTACAAATCATTAATTTTCAAGCAGTCAGTTTTGCTCATCATTTTTCTCTGCCCGATTGTTTTACCTTCCATCTTCGGAACAATGGTTTGCTTTCCTTTGCCAATACTGCAATAAAAAATAGTGTTATGAATCATAATAGTTGATGTATTTGATTAAATTGTTGCAAAAATAATAATTTGAATGTGATAATGTTGTCGCTTCCCCTCCACCACCCACAGAATAATACTAAATACAAACTATTTTAGATTGTATTATAATGCATATTGTATTATTTATTAATGTTTTGTGCAGTTTTTATAACAGTTTAGTAAAGATTTTTTTTGTAAAATGCATATCAAATTATCTTCTTTAATTAACATTAAGAGGATGTCAGTTCACTTTTTGTTTTCTATCTTCGGCCAAAGCGCAACATGGACAAAACAAATTTACATAGAATCATTATTTTTAATGTTTTTGTGTAAGCTTAAAGTAAAATATCACTCATTACAAAAACGATAGAGAACAATATTTTTGAGAGTATGACATACTGATTTGTCTAAATATTGTTTCAAAACATTTATTATATAATATATGTTTTGAGAAAAAAAATATTATTTATAAACTTACAAATATTTTTCAAAAATTATTTTTATTTTTAAAGTCAAATAATAATTAAATATAAAACCAATATGTCATATCCTCAAAAATATTATCCTCTTTAATTTTTGTAATAATTGATTTTATTCTGCTTTACTCAAAAATCATAAAAACTATTTTTGGTGAAAATATTTTATCAATGGGGCAATGTTTTGCATGGGGCAGAGAGAGAAAACATATGTTGCACTAACATCCTTTTAATAATAATCCAGGATTTATGAAATAAAATTGATATCGGAGGTTTTCAATATGAACTGCTATCTCGTTTATACAATACATATTCTGCAGGGTTGCATAAACAATCTCTAAATATTTAATGAATAAATAATTAAATATGATTAAGAAGCCCATAATTGAACCATTAGTTTTTAGGGATGTCTACAATTTGGTAATTGGTTCCTGGATTGTCTACAAGTAATATACAAATCGGTCAAGATTTTGATGAGAGCTTTCATAATGACAATAAAACTATATAAAATTATCTTTTTTTTTTTCTAACTCCTGTATATTTAACCAACATTAATTTCCTTCTCTTTTTACACAGACTCAGGACTGTAAAGCAATATTACTCAAAATATTTTTGATGGTCGCTGTCGTAATATAATAACAAAAAGAAACTAAAAAAAATAATTTGAATTGATAAATAATCTATACATTCAACAGATTTAAGTATTCATTATACAATATTGCATTATATTATTAAAATCAAATGATAAAAATGATAGCATACCTAATTTTTTGATTTTTAGTAGAGGGTCACCAACCCAAAAAAAATAAATTTGTGAGTCACCATACCAAAAAGTTTAGGAAATTCTGGTCTAGAGTACTTGGATATTGTACTTAAAGTGTTGCTAGTCACTAGTCAGTCTATATACAAGTATAACTTATACCGTTTGCTTTACAAGCCTCAATAATATTTGTCAATGCAAATAATAATAATAATAATAATAATATAGGTAATACAAAATAATAATATTTGTACACAATATTAAACAGGTAAGTAACTCGGTTGATTAAAATAAATACAATTTAAAAAAAAAATTAATATAAATGTATGTAAATATGTGTACAACATTCTTTTTTTTTTAATTGTAAACTCAAAATTTAACAATCATTCAATTTTTAATATTTTCAGGAATTTTTACTGAACAAAATATTAGCTAATAAAGACTGACCACGAGACAAAAACATAAGCAATGTATCAGTTGTAAAATTGTTATATGATACGAGAACCTTCCCAGTTATCGAAAACCTAATAAAAATATTGTGAGCTTACAGATTTGTATGTGAATCAAACAGTTGGTATGAGTAATTTTTATCTAGAACCAATTCGAACACTATTTTTACTCTGGAAACAATTCCGTAGTTTATAGATTTTAGTGAACCATTAAATTAATGAATTGTTTGACTTACCTGAAAAAGTTTTTGCCATAGTGCATGACACTGTCGTAATCATATTCAAACTGATAAGTGGTGTTTTTCAAACTCTGTTTATCGAAATTAGAACGGTATTCTAAAAAACAGTAATAATTATTGTTAGATAAGTAACTAAGGTCCGAGGTTAAGGGGATCGCAGCACACTTTTTCATACGTTTTAGACCAATAAGAAGTGGTAACACATACTTCAGAATATCTGATTTTAAATTTGTATCCATGTATGAACTCTTTGACAAAATATCTAGGTTTTTTGGGAAGTTGATTTTCAATTTTCAATTTTAAAGGGCCTTAAAATTAAGATTTTTTTAAAAAATCTCATGAAATAATTACATTACAATGCATACTATTACATACTACAGTTACGCTAATTGTATTTATTTTGGAACATCTAATTTTAGATCAAAACAGTGACTCCTAAAGAGCATAGTCCAAATTTCATGTGAATTGCCTAAATATTACTCCTTAAAACATGATACGCTGGAGCTCCCTTAACAAACTAACAATATACACTTTTAATTACGTACGTGGTATGACGTTTTCGAAATTAATCTTCACAAATTTATCACGGTCAGATCTGGATTGCTCGTGGAAAACGCCTAGAGCGTGTAATAATTCGTGAATAGGTCGTCCGTCGGTACCTAAGCAATTGGCTCCAGTTTCGTCCGGTGGCTGCAGAGACACAATTTGCGGTCCCCCGTAACGGCCCACGTACGACCAACACCTGTATTGTTAAAATATCAAAAGCAGTCGTATCAATATTTGTCAACGGTGTGTCGCCATGTTAAAATATATTAATTGAACGAAAATTAGCTTGAAACAATATTAAAATTAATTTATTGTAACATTTTAGTAGATTGCTTTTAAATTATTATTTTTCGGTTGCCCAGTATAATGTATATATTTTTTTTTACTTATTTTATATTTAACTTTATATAACTTTATTTAACTTTATATTTAACCAACCATATTTCTTCTAATTATAATATTAATATAATATGTAGGTAACGAATTGCAACCATTTAGATTGACAAAAAAAATTTTTCGTATATTAAAAAAACTCATGTGTGATCTACCCTTTGCCTATCTACAGCCTATATGAGTTGAAAAATCAAGCTGTATACACCCTTCAATTTTCAAGTAAGATTCTATTGAAATAACTTTTATTGAAAACGGTCCAGTCATTTTTTGACGCTTTTAACTTCGGATAAACCAACATCCAATTTTAGTTGTACCTATAACCCGATTTCACCCTCCAAAAAAATGAACAAAAAAAAATGTAGATTATATAAGTGTATCTTGGTTTTGGTGTACATACCTAGGTACCTCAGTTCACAGATAAATTTGGGTAGATTTGAGAACTAAATCGACCAAGGTGAACAATTTATTTGTGGTGGATAAAGGTTGTTACCTATAACTTTTTTTATGTAAAGTATAACTTGGTATAAGTCGATCGTGGTTCAAACTTCAAACTACTCTTTAAACATTCCTAATATCTCTAAGAACGATTCGACATTTTCACAAAATCGGTCAAGTAGTTTTTGAGAACCTATGTAGGTAATAGCTACAAATATACATTCAAGTATTTGTTTTAAGATATAATTTCTTTATTCGAAACCATAAGCGACGATCTGATGGATGCTTTTACTTCATCAGAGTAGGTAACTAATGGCAAACATTTAAATTTTAAAATACAAATGTTTACTAATTATTTCTCCTATAACCAATAGCAACCATTTATAAACAAAAATGTCCATCGTAAATCTCAAAATACCTGTTTGAGAACCTCTCCGGGTTGAACCAACTGGGTCTAATTTGATGCAATTTTACTAATCCAAAAGGTGATGACAGACACACAAAAAAAACCATACATTGTAACATCATACATATTCATTGCTCCGTTCAGAATCTAAAATGAATGAATGTTTGTAGCTTATGTAGGTACCTACTACCTACCCAAAAACTACTCAATTGATTTTGAGGAAAATTTCAGAAATTGTTGTTAACGATATCGTCGAAATTTTAGTTTTAACCAAGTTCGAAAATATACAAAGTCGACAAAGTGGATTGCCCATATCTATCGATTTAGTTCACAAAGTGAGGTTCACTGACACCGAATGCCCACCTGAGTCCTGAGGTACACTAAAACTGAGATACACTTATAAATTATAGCATAGTATTTTATATTTTTTATTTTTTCCTGGGTGATACAATCGGGTTCTACAGCTAGTACATAATATATTATTATTGTATAAGATAAAGTTTGTGTGAAAGTATTAGGTTCTCTCCATCGCAAAAATATATATAATAATAACTAATGAAATTAACGCCATAAAGCCGATAAAATATGTATTTTTTAAAAATATTTATTTGGATTTAAAATCATCAAAAGGTCGTCAATTTTCGTCTCATTTACCTAACTGTATGCAATTTTCCAAGTTGTATAGCTACGCGATACTATACTATAGGGATTATTCGTAGAACAGATCACATAATGTTTCATAAAACATATTATTATTATAAATAATCATTAATCACCCAGAAGGATATTTCACCGGCCATATCAGCAAATAGTCCTTTTCTTTACCGGTCCACGGCACGAATTTAATGCAAGTCAGAAAGTTGATCGTCCTGATGGCTTGGTATATCAGAATCCGGTGTTCGGTTTCTGAAACAGTAAAACAAAAGAATATTATCGCGATATCAAAATGAAAACTGTTTCGATAATTCGATCGATCGTGTAATCGCATAAATCAAGCACGCTGTGGTCGGTTTATAATAGTTTACTAACATTATATTATTACCTATATAATAACGATGAAAATAAATAGGTATGAGGATTGTTAAAATAATAATTGCATGCATACCGTAAAGCGGGCTTATCAAATACGGCACGGTGCGGTTGAGCCAGAGTTTCTCCGGGAAAATGTCCCATCGTAGGCCGACCCGCCAATAGTCAAAAATCTGTAAACTCAAGTACAATATTATACGTTAAATGTTAAACGGTTAACAGAGTAAGATCCGCTGAAAACGCATCCAAGACTAGTCGAGCGGTGCAATACTTTACCGGTGCAGTGGGCTTACCTCGTTGTTCATCGCCATGTCCCCTTGAAACAGGCCAGGTCTTACCTCCGGATCGATGTCCTCCTCAGACTGGAGACCATCCACATCATCTCCTCTTATATTATATCCGGCTGTAAATCATAATTTTACAAACACATTAAAGTAAGCCGTAAGATATACTATGTATATTAATAATTTAGAAAATATCGTAATTTTTATTGGTATTGGATTGTGCCATTCAGTGGCGGTTCCATTTTCGGGAGGGGTGCCTGGGTCAAATCCCTTTTTGTAGACTCCCCTACACATGGCCCGAGATAAATAAATAAACAAGGATACTATTTTATAATATGAAACACAATAATACAGTATTATACTACTCTCTATATTTTTTTCTATTCTGGTTTAGAAAACATGTTATAGATGTTGCGTATATATTGGTATCCATTATAAATACACACATTCAGACGTGCATGGTAGTAGTTACGATACCTACGTCAGTTGTCGGTACGCACATAATAAATATTGATTCGATAATATTCACAATATTTCGGTATTCCCAAGACCGCATTAACACAGGTTGGGATTCTGTTTCGACACTCTATGGTATACTACAATACTACATCGTATGTCATGGACTCATGTTCCGTATATTAATGCCGAGTTGCATGAAAAATGTATTTATTTAATAGTACAATAAAATTTAATGAGCCATGCCTATTGCGATCACTATTGATTCGTTAAATGTTTAGTGATTATTCGTGCATCCCGGCACGGAAACCTGCAAGCTGAATACAAGCGTCAAGCGCCCTGTTTTTCTATATATTGTTTATTGATTTTATGGTAAAACATATTATGGTATAGCGGTACCACTATATAGGTTAGTTTTTGAAGTATAAAATATTTCATGAAATATGAACTACATGTGATGAAATATTTCACAAAAACGTGAAACATTAAAATTGTATTTTATGCAAAATATATTAACACATTGGAGACGACAATTTTTTAAGGAATTGTTACGTTGAGGACGAGTGCAGTGTTTAAAATGGTCATAGTTTTTTAGGATCATCGGAGACGACGTTATTTTTATATATTGCAACGTTGAGGACGCTTACCGTGTTTAAAACGGGCAATATTTTTGTGTCTAAAGACGAACACCGTAGTTTACAAGATATCATTTAAGTATATCGATATTTAATTTATATTCAATTACTATCCGACCCGTCCACAGTTATCTACCGTAGATAACCGTAGACCCGTCACAGATTCGTCAGTGATTGGTTGTTTATTTTGCTTTCAGACAATGGTATGTATAATTTATAATTCAAATTTTATCGTTTAATATAAATATAAAAAAAAAGGTTTATGGAAACGTATTGAAATGTTTCTAGCGGTATTAATGATGAATATATTTTTATTAAAAATAGCACTGATCCCGTGCACTTTGTTGCCCATTAAATGTTCCAACTCTATATGACTTTGTTCAATTCGCTATTTAATATTCAGTGTATGGTGTTCAAAACTTGTCTTAACTTTTCCGTTACCCGGTTTAAAAATTCTGATATTATCGGTCCCCGTGCTGGTTGTACGTAAGTGCTGTATGTTTAACTCTAGAGCATAGGTTCCCAACCTATGGTCCACGGACCACTGGTGGTCCGCGAGACATTGTGAGGTGGTCCGCGAGCCATACTTACAAAATTTAAAAATATTTTTATAAATAAGTTTATTTATAAATTTATATTACATAGTGAAACCCATGTTATTATTTCAACCGTTAATCTAATCTTCTTTTTACATTGTTACATTAAGATTAGATTCTATCGGCACAATTTAACAGATTATGTTCAAAGTTGAGTATAATATTGTTGGTTTTTGTTGTTAGTTTCTCCATATCCGTATTTCGTAGTCGACGTTTGTGCTCTTTTTAATTTTTCGTGTGTTAAATTGTCGAAATATGGCTCTGAAAAGTAAGTATGACGATGGATACATAAAATTTGGATTTATCGCAATCGAAACTAAACGTAAAATTCGACGACAGTGTGTAATATGTGCCGCCGTTCTCAGTAATGATGCGTTGAAACCCGCCAAGTTAGAACGGCATTTAAAAAGTGTCCATCCTAAATTAAGTGATCGACCACCAGAGTTTCTCATGGGTAAATCAGAAAATTAAAAAAAAAATTAAACTAGGAACAACTGAACAAGTGGTTCAAGATTTGAGTCAAACGAAAAAGTTCTATCTGCGTCATTTAAAATGTCAAAGAAATCAAAGAAACCACACTTAATTGGTGAAAAATTATTAAAACCTTGTTCACTAACTGCCGTAGAAGAAATTTTAGTTGCGGAAGCTAAAAAGAAAATTCAAGGAATTCCATTATCTAATAATACTGTGAAAGCTCGTATTGATAAAATGTCTTTCGATATCGATAATCAATTATAAGCATTATTAAAAGCCTCATATAAAGAAATTATAAATTCTTGTTAATGAGCAAAAAAAAAAAAGTCTTCCTTAGTTTGCGTAAAATTGAGGTGGTCCGCGACCTATAAAATATTGTCGAAGTGGTCCGTGGTGGTAAAAAGGTTGGGAAACACTGCTCTAGAGTATCAAAGTTATACCAAGTTTATCGTTTTCCCTTAATTACACCTATGGTTAGGGGTGGATCCAGAATTTGGAAACTGCAGATCAGGAAATTTCTTGGGGCCACTTATTAAAACCAGATTAGAAATCTATACTTGTGTCTAGGTATATAAAACAAAAAAAATCATTCATACTGTGTGTGTGTTTATTCGAGGGTCCAACTGTGTAATTACCCAAGATATGAAAAGAGGCCTATTTGATCAGCAACTATTAACTGTGGCTCAGCTGACCTCCTGACCTCCTGACGTTCGTATAAAACCCCTTACAATTTTATATAGTAGTATAAGTAATAATACAAATCAACAAACGTGCCCGATTGACCAATAGCAACCAATATATTATAATACACTTTTATTATTTTAATGGTGTTTTTTTTTTATATCCTGTATACAAAATTTCTACGATCGCGCCACTATTGTATTTTTGACATCCCTATTTATTAATTTTCTGGTGGATTTTTCTAAAATTTTTTTATATAAGAACCTTTTCCTGACAATTACGAACACAACAACAAACATCGCATCTAAATAATACCTACCTTTATGTGTAGGATGATCCACGTACAGTACCGGTGAACAGTGTACTGCAGGGGCGTAATTAGGGAGGGGGGTTAGGGGGTTAGATCCCCCCAAACTTTTTTTTTTACTGCTAATATTTTGATCCAAGTATTGGTAATGACCATGAAAACTATTGTTAATATTAATTTTAACCTTCTGAATGCACCAACTAGATTCACTTTCCCGTCGAACCAGATTACTGTTGAAGAAATTAGAAGCAGTTTTAAAGCCCCAAACCGTGATGACAAACACAAAAATTTAAAAATTTAAAAAAATTACAAATTACAAAAAAACACACACATCATTGTCAAATCAATACATTCATTGTTCCACTCAGAATCTAAATCGCGAAAAAGAACCTAAATTCTAAAAAATACTTATATGAGCGTAAAAAATATATTTTTAAAATAAATATGATTATTTAACCTATTATTATACAACACATACCTATTAAAAACACAAAAAATACAAAAAATGTAAAAATTGCAAAGAAAAAATTTCATATTATAAATTGTTATATCACGAAACAAATTTAGTTTTTGCTTAGAATTGTATAGCACTTAACGAAAAATAATGCAAGAGTCACCAAAATTCTAGCTCTACTTATCACCGAGTAAAAAACTTATACTATCGTCAATAATGAAAAAAAAGCTAATAAAAATCAAAAATTTCTCATGCATAATAATATAGACTATAAATGTATCAAAAAATATTTTTTAAATTGTTTTATGTAAGGAAAACAATAAAATAAATATTTGATTAAAAATGAAGTATCTACGGTTATTCGTTTTTGAATTAAGTACAACAAAATAAGAAAAATCGTTCAATGAGAATTCGTAAATTTACGGGTGAATATTTAATAATATCAACAAAATTGTATTTGTACGTGATTGAGGACAGCATACAACTGATGCAAATAGGTATACTTCATATTTAATAGGTACTCAATTATTATTTTCGTAAATATTTATTTTAAAATAACCAACTATTTAAGTACATACTCTTAAAAACTTGAATTTTAATAAAGGTGCTATAAACGCATTTTGAACTTTGAAGTTTATTGACATGATCACATGAATCAATTTCATTTATAGATATTTTTATTAAGAAGCAAGTTATGATCTTTTTAAAACTGTTAGTTTTTTTGTATTTTATAAAATGGTCATAACTCAGTTATGAATAATAATATCAATAAAATCCTCCAAGATACCCTAAATTCACTCTGATTTTAAAAATAACTGAGTAAAATTGATTATACGTAAAATTTGCTATGTTGTACGTTTGTAAGACAGAGATATTAACAACAAAAATAGTATCCCTAGTCACCTAGGAACAGCCTATCCATCAGTACAACAGGCGTCAACAGCGATCCAGGTGTTATAATTTGTATCGTAATATTCGATTGTCAATCAGTAAGTTGAGAAGACATAATAGAGACACAGAGTCAAGTGAATTCAGGTGTTCAGGTAGAAAGTATACTTTTTATTAAGTCTTCCAGCACAATATAAATTTAATTCACAACCTTAGTTATCAATAAATTAATGTATCTAATCGACCAGTAATCGTACATTAGAAGTTGGAATTACAATTATGCCTCCAAGCATCTACAATAAACTACATAAAACATAATAATAAAAACGGTGTTTCACCTAGAATTATCTAATTTACAACATTAATATAATAAATATAATATATAAAATGGAGCTCATCTCAGTATATTATTAACTTTCTAGTACGGGAAACGTATTGTGTTCACACATATAATCCAGCGAGATGGTAGTAGCACGAAGCTAAGTAGAAAATAAAGGTAGTTGAGTATATTAGTTTATTATTTATAAATCATAGGAGCCAGAGCCGTGCCATTGATAAACCGTGCTAATTTTGTGCTGATCCATCGGGCCGCTCTACAGGGCGCAAACGGGTGAACATAGAAGGCCAT